ACAAGGTCCTGAGGTCAAATCCCAGCACCATCAAAATAAATGTACAGTTTCATTATTTAATGTACAATTTTTTTGTCAGTCGTGGGGCTTGAACTCTGGGTCTGGGCACTGTCCCTCAGCTCTTCAGCTCAAGGTTAGCGCTCCACTACTTGAGCCACAGTGCCACTTCCAGTTTTCTGAGTGGTTTATTGGAGATTAGAGTCTCACGGACTGTCCTGCCAGAGCTGGCTTTCAATCGCAATCCTCGGATCTCAACCTCCTGCGTAGCTAGGATTACAGGAGTGAGCCACTGGTTCCCAGCTTACAGTTTGTACCTGGTAACTGAAAAATTCAAGGGGAATAGTTGATACATTTTTTGACTCCCTACATAGATTATTTCTGAACCTTAGTTAAGCAGTGTTGAACTAGCCTTGCCCTCAATCTGAAACAACTTAAACCTGGTGTTTGGTAATTCACATTTATAGTGTTTGTGGTCATTTCCCATGATTCCATGTGTCAATGAAACAGCTTGTAGAAAAGAGGGTGGGGCCTCCTGATTGATGTATAAGAAGCCCAATGTGATGGGTAGAAGTGTGATTCTGTTTGTAGTTGTCAGCCCTCCATCACTGGGTGGTTATAAGGTCTGGTCCTGTTTCCTCCCTCTGCCTACCCAGAGGAGTATTCAGCTGAGACCTTTGGGATAGTACCCATGTGAAACAAGTTACAACTTGGTGACTTATCACTCACTTTTGCTCAGGTGAACACAAATGTTAGTTCCCAGAAGTGTCTTCGAGAATCCATTGGATGGTCTGATATAATTCCTGCCAGGAACATTCTTGTGAATGTGCATGTATTCCCATGTAAAGGTCTGGCTTCAAAGACAAAACAGAGATCAGCAGCCTCATTTTACAAGTAGACTTTGGGCAGTTCATCTGTATAATGGCGGTTGTAATCCCGTACTTCCTGCCTTCAAAGTGGATGTGGAATTTAAGTAAGATAATGTATGTAAAAGAGCTTTGAGAAGAGACAGGTGCTAGACCAGTGTAGCCAGTATGTTTCAAGAAAAGCTGGCTGCCACGGATGTCAATTTGATGATAATCTCTGAAAACACTAATGGAGCCACCTTTTTAAAGGGTCTGCTTAAAATGTTTGGCTCCAAATATCAATCATTAAAGAATTCAAACATCTCACCTTGAATTAGGTATTGAATTAGAAGAATCTGGGCATGGTAGCATGTGCCTGTCATAAATTGAGAAGAGTTTGTGTTCAAGCCCCACAACCAACAACAACAACAAAAAGACTATCTTTAGAGAAGAGTTTGTATTTACCCCAACCACTCATTATTTTGTGTTAACTGCAAATAGCAGAATTAACTACTGCTTGCTTTGTATTTTTAAGAAAAACCCTGTCAGCTAGTATAACTTGTGATCTGCATGTCTGTCTTAAGAATATTTTTCCCCTTTGGTCATTATTTTTGCTGTGAACTTTATAAAGTCACTTTGCCTTTTGGTTTAAGTTTCCTTAAATAAGGTTGCATGCTAAGACTAGAGTACTTTCAAAGTGAGAGTGTGTGTGTTTCACAAACTATATTCTAAATTTTAAGTTGGCACATGTCAGCCTGACGCGACTCCACTTTTATTTAAATGTGATTTAATGTAGTCTCCAGACCTCCCACAACAGTGTGTTGTCAGTAAAGGTACTGTACAGTGAGCTTCCTGGATGCCTTAGTGACCAAGTAAGAAAAACTTACCATTCTGGCAAACTTGGTTAATCACCTATAGAAAACTAAAGCTAGATCCGTAAATATCACTCTGCACCAGCATCAACTCCAAATGGGATAAAGACCTTGGAGTCAAAGCAGATACCCTGACAACATTACAGGATGGAATAGAAGAAACCCTAGGTCTCCTTGGCACAGGCCGAAATTTTCTTAATAAAGACCCAGAAACACAACAAATCAAAGAAAGGTTGGACAAACTGGATTGCATGAAGCTGCAGAGTTTCTTCATGGCAAAGGATATAGTTAGCAAGATCAATAGAAAGCCCAAGGATTGAGAGAAGATCTTCACTAGCCATACAACGGATAAGGGTCTCATATCTAAAATATACTTGGAACTCAAAAAATTAAATCCAGCTGGGCTCCAGTGGCTCACTCCTGTAATCCAAGCTCCTCAGAAGGCTGAGATCTGAGGATCACAGTTCAAAGCCAGCCTGGGCAGGAAAGTCCATGAGACTCTTACCTCCAATATACCACTAGAAAACTGGAAGTGGTGCTGTGGCTCAAGTGGTAGAGCACTGGCCTTGAGCTGAAGAGCACAGTGATAGCAACTAAGCCCAGACTGACCAAAAAAAAAAAAAATTAAATCACCCAACAACAAATCTTCAAAGAAACAACTGCCTGATAAATAAGTGGGCTAAAGACTTAAAAAAAAACTTCTCTGAAGAGGAAATAAGAATGGCTAATAGACACATAAAGAAATGCTCAACTTCTGTAGCCATAAAAGAAATGCAAATCAAAACAACATTGAGACACCACCTCACCCCAGTTAGAATGGCTATAATCAAGAACTCTAATAACCACAGATGCTGGAGGGGATGTGGCCAGAAGGAAACCCTACTGCATTGTTTGTGGGAGTGTAAACTTGTTCAGCCACTTTGGAAAGTAGTATGGAGGTTCCCCAAAAGACTCCACATAGAGCTCCCCTATGACCCAGCAATCCCACTTTTGGGCATTTACCCAAATGATCACAAACAAGACCATACTAAAGCTACCAGCACAACTATGTTTATTGCAGCATTATTTACCATAGCTGTGGAACCAACCCACATGCCCCTCAGTAGATGAATGGATGAAGAAAATGTGATATAGATACATACATATACATACATACACATACACACACACACACACACACACACACACACACATATGAGAAAGAATGACATTGCCCCATTTGTTAGGAAATGGAAAGACTTGGAACAAATTAATACTAAGTGAAGTAAGCCAGGCCAAAGAAACATAGGTCCCATGGTTTCCCATTGTTTCCCATATTTGCCATAACTAGCATATGTCTGGGACAAGTACAAAAGGTCAAAAGCTATGTACATCTGACCAGATAAGATGAAGCTAAGCAAAACGAACCCCAAGATAGGGACACAAATGTTTTTTTTCTTGCTTGCTATTGTTTCTAACATATTTATAAGGTACCATGTGATTTTTTTTTGTTGCTTTGAATTTTCCTCCCCTGCGGAATAACCCGTTTTCACTTTATTTGATGTCGGTATAATTTGGGGAGGAGAAGGGAAAAAACAAAATGTTTAAATAGGAATACAGGTTGACCCTTTGCAACAATGAGATGTACAAGACACTATTTGAAAAACGAACTTTACAATGTAGGTGGGGGGAGGGGGAGTGTAGTTGAGGAGGTGGGCGGGAAGGGATGGTAGGGGAAAAACAAAGGAGGAGGCAACAATGCTTGATAAGAAATGTAATCATTACCTTGCTCATGTAACTATAAGCTCTCTGTATAGTATTTTCACAATAAAAAAAGCTTATTAAATAAAAAAGAATAAAACAAAAAGAAAAACTCACCATTAATTACAGTGCATCCTAAGAAGATAAAGACCTTTGGTGGTAGAGAGGAGGTCCAGTGTCACTGCAGCCCATTGTACTGCAAGTTGCTAAGGTCCCATCTACCTCTGAGGTCCAGCAGTGCTGACTGCAGAGAAGCCCAGCTAACAAAACAGCTGCACATCTAGGATCCCTTTCTGATGTTTCTGATAAGCGTATGGCAAGGCTGAGGTCCTGCCCAGCAGGACAGGTCCTCCAAGTCTTCACCGGGCCAGCCCTTACTTGGCCCAGAAGTAGAGTGTGGTGCCATTTCAGCTCTCACAATGTCTTTTTAACTCACCGTCCTTTGCCATCACCAGTGACCCTTCTCTTGACTTTCTTGGGCATCCATGTGAGCATGCACATACTACTCACACATACACTTCTGCAGCACACCTGACTCATCCCTGGAGGGCCTTCCCACCCCTAGCTCAGAATGTAATAACTGGTGGGTGTTTAGATTGCCTTATGTTGAAGATGTGTCAGACAGCAAGCTGCATTTTGACAAGGCTTTCTGAAGACAGTGCCTTCTTCAAGGGGTGGATGGAAATTTCAGGCACTATGGTACGCCATGTGGGTGGGAATGGAGTTTTAATAAGGAGATCCTTGGGTACTTTTCAAATCACCCAAAGGAGGAAGAAAACTGTGTATTACCAACCTACAAGTCCTCATCCAAAAAATGAAAGCCAGGCAATTTAGAAAATTAAGCCATAGCTGCTAGCAAGATGGAACAGTCACTTCATGCCAGCACCTGGAATGAGATCAGTGCTGTGTGGGACATGTAAACATTCATGTGCACATGAAGTAGGATGAGGATTGTAGTTCTGACAAGGGATATAACTACAAGGAATCTGAGCTGGTCAAGTTTTATGGGCAGAGTAACTCAGCTAACTGTTAAAGTTTTTAGGATTGCAGAATTGGCGCCTAATCATTTACAATACTTCCAAGCATTACAGTGTGCTAGGCACAATGTTAAGTGAGCACTTGACTCATGTAAACCTGTTTACTTCTCTTAAGGGAGAAAGAAAGTATTAGTACCCCCATTCACTGATTCTTTCTCAACCTTCCTTTAAAAAACCAAGTGACCACCATATGCTAAGGGGAAAGAGCAAAACCTAAGTCTAATCTCCACCTAAAGTTGCACTCAGTTATGTGGGAGCCAGATGGAGGCCCAGACATCACCTCCCACAAGGCCAGGAACAGAGAGGGGCCTGTGCTGCCTGTGCATCAGAAAATGTGTCCCAGGATGGTGCTTGGCCAGCTCCACCTTCCAGGCAGAAAAGCCAGTGGCCAAGAATGGCAGAGTAAAGGTTAAGGTCAGCAGTTCTCAAGTGCTTTTGACCCCTCGGCTCCCTGAGGTCCCTTCTGTTGTTTGCTTTAATATAGCCCTCTCTTCTTTCATCTCTTACAGGATGCCCATCTCAGCTTTCTCACAAGACAACATCTATGAAGTTCAGCCACCAAGGGTAGACAGAAAATCTACAGAGATCTTCCAAGCCCACATCCAGGCCAGCCATGGTATCATGCAGCCCCTAGGGAGAGAGGATACTTCCATGTACCGAGAATACATCAGAAACCGCTACCTGTGAGGGGACGGAGGGCAAGGCCACCCAGTGTCCCTGAGAAGGAGCAAGAACATCTGCAAGAAAGGCTTAGATTTCTCTCTTGTCTCATCTCCAAAGGTAATTTCCCAGAAGTCCTTGCATCTGAAGCTTTTCATTGTTTTTGTACCATGCAAATGAAAAATTATATAAGTAGTAAAGAAATGACTGAATATGCTGCTAGTGCTGCCTTTGCCTTTTGTGAATGTGGTCAAGGTACAATCACAGCATTACATTTTGAAATGTTCTGGGACTTTGTAAGCCTGCTGTGTCCCCAGCACTAGGCAATGTCTAAGGATGTCACAGTCATCAAACTAGGCCAAAGTTAACAGCTTTAAATTTATTCTCATTTTTTTATGTTAACCTTATAATTCTATCAAAAAATGCTATTACTCAGAAACCCCTTTTCTTAGGAAATAAATGTTTTTCAATGGTTTAGGGAAAAAAGACGATCGAGCAAGTGGAGGGAAGCAATTGGTAACTAGTAAATCTTAGTAGTAGTTCTTTGGACTAGTCTAACAATGTATCTGCAAGTATAGAGTTATATCAAATCAAAGCATTAATTTTGGCACAATGACATAATTTGTAATCCTAATACTTGAAAAGCAGATGTAGGAAGATTACAAATTCAAGGCCAGTCTGAGTTACATAGTGAGACCCTGTATCAACAAGATAAATAAATGAGAGAGAGAGAATAAAACATTATAAAATTGTTATCCTAAATAACTTGTGGTGTACATTTACAACATAATTTGGTATGTAGGAAGGTAGGGACTTGGTCACATACAGGACTGGTTTGATCTCTGTATAGTCAGACCCTAATGTAACAACTTCCTGGATTTTCTAACCATTTGACAGAATGAACTTCAGTTCCTTTTGTGTAAGCTCATATTACAAATTGTTTCAGTTCTCTCTCTACCCGGCCCCCCCGCCCCCATAGAGAAGAGAACCAAACTATCCAATGGGAAAAGGAAAACTGGTTAGCCAAAGAGACCTGGAAAGTATTGGCAATCCTGAAATGCTAGAATTCTGTTGAAGGTCCTACATTGTAAACCAGAGTTAAATATCCACTTATCCTGAAGTCAAGGTTCCAAGGTAAAAGGGATTTTGTGTTGGAGCAGTTTTGATCTCTAACACAGTAGCTTATGTGGGATAGCATAGGAATCTCCCCAAGTCACAGAATAATTCCCAAGTTGCTACCAAGGTGACAATTATAGATCAGATATTAAGCTTCATTTTTAAACTTATTTTTAACATGTCTTCTGGAGGCCCACCTACAATAATGAGAATGAACTTTATACTAAGACCTCTAAGATGATCTGGAATGCAGATCTTTTGTTTTGTTTTGTTTTGTTTATTGTTGTTGTAGAGTTGATATACAAAAGGGTTACAGTTATATGAATCAGGTGATGAGTACAATTCTTTTTTGAATCATGTCTCCCCTCACTCTCTCCCAGTTTTTCCTTTCTGATCCAACCCACAAGATACACAGTTCATTTTTCACATAGTGTCTAGTAGGTACCATACTTGTTCCAGCTTTTCTGTGCCCCTCCCCCCCATTGCCCTCCCAAATACAAACAAACTAAACAAGACAAAAGGAAAAGAAAGCAAAAATAGCAACAATGACAACTAAAAATGTATCCTGTTTCCTTTTGGAGTTCATTTCATAAAATATTATTTATTATTATTTTGTCAGATACGGAGCTTAAACTCGGACCCTGGGTGCTTTCCCTAAGTCTCTTTGTACTCAAGCCACAGTACCACTTCCAGTTTTTGAGTGGTTAATTGGAGATAAATTTCACAGGGACTTTCCTGCCCAGCCCAGCTTAGAACTGCGATCCTCAGATCTCAGCCTCCTTAAAAGCTAGGATTGACATTGCCCCATTTGCAAGGAAATGGAAAGACTTGGAAAAAATATTAAGTGAAGTAAGTCAGATGCAAAGAAACACAGGCTGCATGGTTTCCCTACTTGTAATAACGATAGAATATGTCTAGGATATTCTTAGCAGAGGATCGCAGTGGCTCAATACCTATGTGCATATGACCATATAAAATGATACTTATTGAAATGAGCTCCAAGAACTGGAAAGAAGAGGGTTTTTTGGTGGACTGTTTATAGTTGTTTCTTTTTTCTTTCTTTTACTTTTCCCTTTGGCTTATTCCCTTTTCATACTGCTTTTCATTTCTGTACCCATTGCCTTGTACATAAGTTTGTCTGATTTGGGGAAGGGAAGGGGAATCACAGAAATGGTGGGACAAAGGGTGAACCATTGCAAAAGTGATATTTACTAGACACTATGTTGAAAATGAACTTTACAACTTGGCAGGGAGAAGGGGGGGGGGGGAAGTGTGAGAAAATGAGGGAGGAGTAACTTTGTTCAAAAGAAATGTACCCATTACCTTACTTATGTAACTTGTCTGTACATCACCTTTACAATAAATTTTTTTTAAAAAAAGAGTTTCGTAGGGGCTTTTCTGCCTAGTCCAGCTTTAAACTACAATCTTCAGATCTCAGCCCAGCCATAAAGTATTACTTTATATGATGACCATATACACATAGCTATTGAATCTTTGTCAACCACTCCTATGCGTATCTTCCTTTGGCCTCCGTATGTGAATGTGTAGAGTCCTGTATAATTTATCATATTCCATTTTGTGTGTGTGTGTGTGTAATTTAATCATTCAGTGTGTTTACTTGTAGATTTATAGGCACATTCTAGTTACCACAAATGATGGAGACCATGCAGCCTATGTTTCTTTGGCTCTGGCTTACTTCACTTAATGTAATTATTTACCATAGCCAAGATATGGAATCAACCCATATGTCCCTCAGTGGACAAATAAAGTAGACAAAGAAAATATGGTATATATACACAATGGAATTCTACTCATCTGTCAGAAAGAATGATATTTGCCATTCCTCAGGAAATGGAAAGACTTGGAAAAAAATTAAGCGAAGTAAGTCAGATCTTCTTTTATAAACAATCTGAATGTTTATAAAATAATACTGGGGATTGAACCCAGGGCCTTGTGCATGCTAAGCAAGCGTCCATTACTTGGTAGCTCAGCTTTTTTTTTTTTTTTTTTTTTTTTGTGAACATACTGTACAGAGGGGTTACAATTACATGGGCAAGATAATGAGTACATTTCTTACCAAGCATTGCAGCCTCCTCCTTTGTTTACCTTTCACATCCCTTCCCAGCCTCCCCCCCCCCCCCCCTGCTCCCGCACCAAAGTTGTAAAGTTCGTTTTCGACATGACAACTTGTACTTCTCATTGCTGCAACGGGTCCACCTGTATCCTTAAACGACTTGTTTTTCCCCATCTCCTCCACAAATTATACCGACATCAAATATAGTAAAAGCAGGGGTTATACTGTGGGGGAGGGACATACAAAGCAACAAAGAAATAATCTTATAAATGTGTTAGATACAAATGCATGAAAGAAAAAAACATTTAAATACATATCTAAGGGTTCGTTTTCCTAACATCACATTATCTGACCTTTTCTGCTTAGTAGCTCAGCTTTTTGTTTTCTTGTGTATGTCTGAGATGAGGTCTCACTAGTATTGCCCAAGCTAGCCTCAAACTCATGATCCTCCAGCCTCTGCCTCCAAATGACTAGGATTACAGGTGTATACCTGCATACCTGGCCTGAACTTAACTTTCTTTAGCTATAAAATGAGAATAGTAATTGTTCCTTTGTTGCTTCATGGCAAAGTTTAGAGATAGGGTATGTAAAATATGTTGCCATGGATTCCAGTATGCAGATGATGCTCAGTCAGTGGTGTCTGCTGTTGATGAAGGGAGCAATGGAGGAGATGGTGGTGGTAAGGCAGCGAGAGTGATTTTACAACCTACATCCTAAGATTCTTGATTTAAGGCAAGTACCTATGACCTTCTCAGAATTCACATGACTTTCAGATAACAAACTGAGCTAATTTTCCTGCCATTAATTTATTCTTATTATCTCAACTTTAACTGTATTAGAGCTTACAAATTGAGGTGCATAGAAACAGTAAGTACATATCTGATGCTCTGAAAAGCTAACACATCATGGAAAATATAGAGACTGCCTTATTTGTAGACCCTAGGGTACAAAATAGACAATAAGTGAGAATATGAGCTTTTGGCCCTCATAACTTACAGGTCAGCGCAAGATTTTGAGCAAATCACTTTAGAATTTCTCTGCCCCCGTTTTTCTCATCTAGTCTTGAGAGTAGTGGAAAGAGGGAGAAAAGGTAATGCATGTATGCATGTAAAGCATTAGGCATGGTGTGTGTGTCACACAATAAATACTCACTAACTGTTAGCTTTAATGATCACTGATGGTCATAATTATACACATCTGTAATCCCAGCTACTCTGCCGAAATACAGTGGATAACAGTTCAAAGCCAGCTCAGGGAAAAAGTTTAGCAAAACCGTACCTCAACAAACTGATTGTGGTGGTACCTAGCTGCAATCTCAGGTATGTGGGAGCCATAGGTAGGAGAACTACAATGTAGGCAAAAGTGAGACCATATCTGAAAAAATAACTACAACAAAATAAAGGAGGGTTAGGAATATGACTTAAGTGTAAAGAGTATCTGCCTAATAAGCATGAGGCTCTGAGTTCAAAAATCCCCATACTGAAAAAAAAAAAAAAAATCACTGATGATTGTGGTCACAGCCATTTATTATCCTGGGAATGAAGGCCCCAAATATTCATCTTTACCATGCTCTCATCACTGAGAAAAGAGAAGCCTTTCCAGTTCATTTGGGCATTGTAGCTCTTAATTCCTCAAGTCAAGCAATCTATATAAATCTTCAAACAGACTGTCTCAATCCACCATGACTGGGGGTAGTACAATGACAGGAGACCAAGCGGTGGAACTGTGGTCAGTTGTCCACTGGGTGAGAATGAAATTGCTTAGAGTGCCAGAGAAGGTAAAGTTGCCCTAATGTCCCCAACATGCTTCTTGAAATCCTGTCAAAACAGGATTTTTGAAACTTATTTTTGGTAGTTTCCCAGCTCAGCATCTTTTTTTTTTTCTTGGTCGGTCATGGGGCTTGAACTCTGGGCCTGGGCGCTGTCCCTCAGCTCTTTAGCTCAAGGCGAGCGCTCTACCACTTGAGCTACAGCGCCACTTCCGGTTTTCTGGTGGTTTATTGGAGATAGGAGTCTCACGGTCTCTCTTGCCCGGGCTGGCTTTGAACCGCAATCCTCAGAGCTCAGCCTCCTCAGAAGCTAGGATTACAGGCGGGAGCCACCAGTGCCCGGCTACCAGCTCAGCATCTTTCAGTTGTTTTGTTGAGATAAGAAGTACTTGTTGGACTGCACAAGCAGAGCCAACAGGATTGTTTGGATAACTGAATCTTCCACTGGAAGTCCTGTGATCTCTTTTGCTTCTTAGGCTTATGACCCTCCTTTTGGAAGAGATAGTGCTGACTTTGAACCCAGCACATGTTATCATGTGCTGCTAGCCCAGGTCTCGCTCTTTCTATGGACATGGGCAGCTTTCTTCAATAGACACTTGAATCCTCTGTTCCATTTGAGAACCCAGAGGTTTATTTATTAAGAAAAGACATTAAGCTGTCATTTAATTCTTGCTACCCACACACAAATATTTTTGCACTCTCATTTCTTCAGAACAGTATTTGAGAGGACTCTGGTGTAATTGCCAACTGGTTGGTAGATAAAAATTATAATCTGAATTATTCCTCAGTGACTGAAGAAGATGCTTTGCAAAGAAAATTTCAACACAAACCACTTGTATTGGTTTACAAAGAAAGAGGAGGGCTGGGAAATAGGATTTGCTAAACTAAGCGAGAGCTACTAGTCTAAAAGGCAAGTAAAATGGCATGAATGACTCAAGAGAAAGAATCACAGATAGTGCACCATGCAATTAGCTGTGAAAACAAGGAAAGTGCCTCTCCACGTTTTCATTGCTGCTAAGAAGCAAATTTCCTTCCAGCACTCTCCTACCACCATCATTTTTTCTTTTTGAAATGAGAATTACAACTTAAAAACACCTGCTAGCCAGGCATTGGTGGCTCACAGCTGTAATATTAGCTAGTCAGGAGGCTGAGATCTGGACGACTGCTATTCAAAGCCAGCCTAGGCAGAAAAGTCATGACCTAAGTGATAGAGCACCAGCTGTGAGCAAGAAATCCAAGTGTGTGAGGCCAACAGTACTGTCACAACAGGTATGTATGAATGTAGGTAGGTAGGCAGATAGACAGATACAGACATACATACAAAATTTTCTTTTGTCTTGCTCCACATATCCCATTCTTATACCTTAGAGATAATTAGGCTGATGATTAAATCCACTACCTAGTCCCAAGATGGCAGACTGTCTAAGGAAGATGAATCCCAAAAGTCCTGCACTCTGGAGACATCATATGATGTCACCTGTGGCTACAGTAGCTGGGTATGTCATGAGTGTCTTTTTTGGGTATGCTGTGAATGATTAAATGTGTATATGAGCATCTTTGGCTTGAGGAAAGGAAGAAGGTCATGTGTATACTGAACAGCTACCAGTCCACATGTGTGCCCACTGGTCTGTCATATTTATCCAT